ACCCTCCGCATCTCTGGCCTGTACCCCAGTTCTATATGAATAAATAAATCTTAAAAAAAAAAGTCTCAATGACATTCTTCAAAGAAATAGAAAAAATATTGATGAGATTCATATGGAACAGCAAAAGACCTCGAATAGCAAAAACTCTCATCACTAAGAAGGAAGAGAATGGAGGCATTACAATCCCAAACTTTAAGCTATACTACAAAGCTGTAATAATCAAACTGCATGGTACTGGAAACAAGAATAGACATACAGACCAGTGGATTCGGACAGAAAATCCAGATATAAACCCACAGATTTATGGGCAGCTAATCTTTGACGAAGGAGCAAAGAAGATAACAATGGAACAAAAAAAGTTTGTTCAGCAAATGGTGCTGGGAAAGTCGGGAAGCTACATGCAAAAAAATGAAACTAGATCACTACCTCATACCATACAGAAAAATCAACTCAAGGTGGATTAAAAACCTAGACATAAGAACAGAAACCATAAAAATACTTGGAAGCAAAGATAAGCGAAACACTACACGACATACACTTCAGTAACATCTTTGAAGATACAGCACCCAATACAATGATAGTGACGGCAAGGATAAATAGATGGGACTACATCAAGTCAAAAAAGTAAATCTTAAAATAAAAAAAATGACTCCCCTACCTATCCCTGAAGAGAGGAATGCAAGTTAGACACCACAAACTGAATGTTAATTACATTCAAATCCCCCCTGACATAGACTGGACACAAAGGTAAATACTCAGCTGCTTGGTAATACCTGCTTCCTCAGGTCTCCATCTTCCTCCCCATGTTCCTTCTCTTCTCTTCTTTTGTCTGCTCAGCTCCATGCTCCTTCTGGGTGGTGCAGGGAACCTGGAACTTCCCCTTTTCCTGGGATCACCCAGTTACAATTCCCCCTTTTGATTTTCATAACACCAATTGTAATAGATACAGGTTTTATGTACTCTTTTCCCTCTCCAGATACTGGAACTACAAATCCCATCAATACCAAGGAGAAGCACGCTGGGACATAAGGATGGGCCTGAGTAGCTGGGTTAGGATAATACCAGACATGTGGGCTCTGGGTGCTCTTGGTCTGGTGGTTCGCGGCTGGTCGTTTGGCTCTCGATCCGTTTTCAGTGTGCTATTGGAGTCCAAGTCGGCAGAACTGGTAGGATATTCTAGTTAACTTGTGTTTCTCTCCTTTTCCCTGGGTTGTTCCTTTTTCCTTTCTCCTTGCAACTAAACCCATTATCGAACTTTTTGTGTGTGTCCACAGTATGATTGAATCTTAAGGGCATGGGTGAAGACCCACAGGTAGGCAACCCAATTCACATTGGGGTGCCCTGTAACATAATCATAATGCCAAAATATTCTGAGCAACCATCAGTTTACAACTGGATTGCCTAACCTCATAAGGCTGCTGCCTAGACCAGGCAAGCAGGTGCTGCCACAGGGCGGGAAAATCCTCGAGGTCAAAAGTGATTTTACAATTGGCTGATTAATAAAAGCAATTGGCTGTTATAGCAAAATCAATATTGTAAAACAAGGCAGTATTAAGAACACGTTAAAAAATAACCAGAGCTCGGCCCTCCCTGGTGGCGCAGCGGGTTGAAGCACAGCACTGAGAATCTGAGGCCGCTTCCGCATGAGTTCGATTCCCGCCTGCCGCCTGCCCCGGAGGAGACCACATGGCGAGCCAGACCTCTCCTGACCCGCCCGCTGCTCCCCTCAGCAGTGTACCTCGTGGATCTGCCTGTTCTGCTCCCCGTTCTATCTCTGGTGAATCCTATCACCCTCCGCATCTCTGGCCTGTACCCCAGTTCTGTATGAATAAATAAAAATCTTAAAATAAATAAATAAATAACCAGAGCTTTTTCACTGCCCGGATCTGATAACTCAAATCCATCACTCTACTGTCTTACTTAAACTTTCTATTGTTAAGTCTTTAAATGAGGAACTCTACTATATCGCTTTAGTTTAGTGATGGATTCACACACACACACAAAAATACTTCTCCACCCTGGCCCTCTGCTTCACTTCATCTCTTTCACCTATAGGATATCTCAATGAGAATGAAGGTCATTAAATAGTAATTAGGGTTAAAGGGACTTCATTTTAGCTAATCTGTGGTTAACATAGCAATGTTAGTCTTAAATTTTATGAATTTATGTACCCGTTTTAACTTTAATAGATTGATTTGAGAATAATAAATGTTATAATCTTAGCTGAAGGTCAATATCACCCCAAACTCTTCTTAGAAAAAAGGGATGATTGTAATCTTTCTGCTTAATTCATATGCTGTTGTCCCACAGCTTGCTCGTAATGTATAAATAAAGTCCTGCTGAGACTAGAGGCAGGAGACACTGGCACCCTAGACTGACTCCTCCGTCTCATTCCCGCACCCCCTGCCGCCCCCCCCAAATCTCTGCTTGCCGACGCCGTTTCGCACCTCTGAAGCTCGTGCCACCAAAACTCAACTTTTGGAAAGTGCGCCCTCTCGGCGGGTGTAGCGGTATTTAAAGGCTGCTTCACTGGGCCGGTGCTCGCCATTCCCAGCGCGCGGCGTCGGCGGTGCACCGAGAGCGCGGCGCGGCGGCGGCGAGGAGCGGGAGGAGCGGCATGGAGCGGCCCGGGGCCTGCTGAGCACCGGAGCGCAGGCAGCCGGCGGCACGGTGAGCGCGGGCCAGCCCGTCCGGCTGCCTTGGAGGGACGGGCCGCAAGGGGGTGCGCGGAGAACCCATGCACCCTGCACGGGGGTCCAGGGATCCGGCGCCGGTAGGCGGGCTGCGGCACCTCCAGTCTTCCCCGCGGTGGTTCCTGCGAGTCCCTTGGGATTGACCCATCCTTCCTTTCTTCCTCCATCCTCCAGCCTCTCCTCCCTTCCTCCCTTACGGCTCCGGTTTTGTGAATGGGTTAGGACGACTGTGTGGGGCATCAGGCTGGTGGGAGTCTCTCCCTCCCCCACCCCGCCCCGGGGTTCGCACCTGTCCTGGCACAAAGATACCCCGCGCCCGGTTGCCTGCGGGTCAGCTGGGCCACGGCCGCAGGTATCCTGTGTGCCGCGCGCCCCTTCTCTTGCGGGCTCAGAAGGGCCAGGAAGGTGGCCGGGCGCAAGGAAAGGAGTCCCTGCCTAACGCTTTAAGTTTCCATCCCGCTGCATGTGGGCAGCGAAAAGGGGTACAACACCTGTCAGCTAGAAAGGCTCCAGACTGGGCAGCCCCGCAGAGTTCCGGGGATAGATTTGGCGGCGTGCGTCCTTGGCTTGGGTTTTCTCCTGTGGTGGTGGAGTGGGGTGTCTTAGGTAGCGTTCCCAGTCGTGCCCTTGATGCTGGATGCGTATTAGCCAACAAGGATTGAGCTCTCGTGGATTCCATTTGAGCCTAGTGGGAGAGGAGAAAGGAGTGGTCTAGGTGCCCCCCTGCCGACTTGGGGTGACACGGTCCCCTCTCTGCAGGGGCAACTCAGCCAGAGCTCCCACCAAGGCCTGATCTCACGTGGGTGTCCTGCTGCAGGACCTTCGTGGGTCCTCTGTGGGGCCGGCGACACCGGGGAAGCCGCCTTTGTCTGCAGGCAAGCTACTTTGCCTAGGTAGCTGGGGCCCCAGAAGATCAGCAGTGTCTGATCCGACTGAATCCTGAGGTTTCCCGTTTCTTCTCGGTGGGAAACCGGCACGTGGGTGTGGCTGGCGCCGCCTTCGCCAGAAGGCTAGGCTCTGGCGGGGGCGAGAAGCGTGGCGAGTGTTTCCCCGACTGCATTAACCGGTGGCCGCTGCCTCCGGCATTGCGCCGAGGCTGGGCGCCAGCCGGGCAGGTTGCTGGGCTGGCCTTGAACGCCCCTTGCCCTTTGCCACAGCGCAGGGGGCAGTGGTGCCTGCAATGCCCCTTCGGCCAGTAAGCTCTAGAGGGGAATAGGGGCGCTCCAGGGCAATGGATGCAGGGCCTGCAGGGGCCTCGGCCTCAGGCTCCGAGGAGGAGGAGGAGGAGGAGGAGGGGAATCTGGGATGGGGGAGGGGGGGGAGGTGACTGGGAGTCCGCAGAGGAAGCCTCAGGAAGCTCCCCAGGATGGTGGGGGAGAGCTTCCCGGGGAACGCTTCCCAGAAGAGGCCAGACTGCCAAAAGCACTTTCCAGAGCGAAGCTGCTGAAATGCTACTGGTGCCCGAGTCCCAGACTGATTTTAGGCAGTGACTGCATGTTCCTCACCTGTCTTGTCTGGGGAGGTGGGGGGTGGGGAAGAGGGGAGGGGAATAGGAGAACAGGCATTGTTGCCTGGTAAGGTAGGTGTTTGTGTTGGGGTAGGGCTGGAGCGCCTATTTCAGTGAGACCTCCTTGTCCATAGAGGGTGAGGGGTGGTGGAAACAGATCAGTCAGGTGGCAGGGAGAGGACATGGGAAGGCAACATGGGCAGAATAGAGGGCCTTGAGCTTCCTTATCAATCTGCCCCTCCCCCCACCCCACCCCCAACTCCCCACCCCTGAGCCAGCCTTCCCACTTAGGTAGTCCTTTAGGACTGAAGTGTTTTCAATTTTCAGGGAATGATTCACCGAGATACAAGACAAAACCATCAGAAGTCCTTGCTCCGGAGGTACTTAGTCTCAGAGAAGTTGGGCAAGGTCAGGCTGCCTGGAGGTGGTTGATCTGGTGCAGAGTCCCACTCTATTTTCAATACAGCACAACTGTCCCAATAGGGCAGATGCTAGGCATCCTGACTTAGTTGCAAATGAAACCTGGGAGCATTTGTAGGTGTGGTAGGGCAAGAGATGAAGAGATTTTATGGGGTACCAGGGCCAAGTGGATGGGGCACCCTGGGTAGCTTCCCCAGCTCCCTGGGCTGCTGCAGTGGCAGTTGCACTTCCCTGGGCCCAGAGCACTGGGCCTCCAGCAGGGCGGGCTCTCTGCACCCCAGCACTCTTTTCCTTTTCTTTTCCTCTTCTGCTTTCCCTTTCTTTCCTGCCTCAAGTAAATGAGAAAAAGGTGAGAAAGCAGAAGAGAAAACTTTCTCTTACTGATGTTACTGTTTGGAAAAAGGGAAGATGCTTCCTTTCTCTCTCTGGCCTCCTGCTGTTTCTTTTTCTCCCCCACTTTCTTCATGGGCCTCATGGATGATGTCTTGACAGGTGAATATCCCCCTGCCAGAGTGCAGTCTAATGGGGAAGGTCAACTGACCTTTGGGACAGGTACCTCACTGTCCTGCTGTCCAGGAGATGGATGTCACCTGGTTCTCTTTGGTTCGTCAAACAATAAGTGCTACTCTAAGTGTTTTACCTACTCCTGGTACCTATTTAGCTTTCAAAGACACATTGAGGCTAGTGCTGCAGTCTACATTTGACTGATGAATTAATAAAAGGTAGGACACAGTCCCACATTGATAGTAAGAAGAAGAGTTGGGCTTTGGCTCAGTACTTTGTCTTCTGAGTATAGAGACAGTCTCAGTTACGCTCAGTGATAATGCTTTTTATCAGTGGTCTTTATCATACCCCGCTTGCTCTGAATGGTGATGCCTCCTGTCTGATTCCCCACTTCTTGGCTTCTCCCTCCAGATGCCGGTGCAGCTGACCACAGCCTTGCGTGTGGTGGGCACCAGTCTGTTTGCCCTGGTGGTGCTGGGGGGCATCCTGGCAGCTTATGTGACAGGCTACCAGTTCATCCACACCGAAAAGCACTACCTGTCCTTTGGCCTGTACGGTGCCATCTTGGGGCTGCACCTGCTCATCCAGAGCCTGTTTGCCTTCCTGGAGCACCGGCGCATGCGCCTGGTGGGCCGACCCCTCAAGATGCCCTGCCCATCCAGGTGCTCAGTGGCCCTCTGCATCGCTGCCTACCAGGAGGACCCAGACTACCTGCGCAAGTGCCTGCGCTCTGCCCAGCGCATTGCCTTCCCAGACCTCAAGGTGGTCATGGTGGTGGACGGCAATCGCCAGGAGGATGCCTACATGCTGGACATCTTCCATGAGGTGCTAGGTGGCACTGAGCGAGCTGATTTCTTTGTGTGGCGCAGTAACTTCCATGAGGCTGGTGAGGGCGAGACGGAGGCCAGCTTGCAGGAGGGCATGGACCGAGTGCGCAGTGTGGTACAAACCAGTACCTTTTCGTGCATCATGCAGAAGTGGGGAGGCAAACGAGAGGTCATGTACACAGCTTTCAAGGCTCTTGGTGACTCAGTGGACTACATCCAGGTAAGTGCATCCCTACCCCCAGGAGTATGTGGACACTGAATGTATCTGACCGACAGAACATGGGCTCCTCCAAAAATTTTTAGTCTTATCTATAGATCCCTTGTTTTGTACACATCCCTCCTTTGCATTTAAGAATGCAACAGAAGGCCCTCCCTGGTGGCACAGGGGTTAAGGCGCAACACCGCAAGCGAGCCAGCTGCGTCAGTGTAAGTTCAATCCCCACCCTGGAGGTGACCCACATGGTGCAGCAGACCTCTCCTGACCCACCTGCTGCTCCCCTCAACAGTGTATTTTGTTGATCTGTCTGTTCTGCTCCCCACTCTGTCTCTGGTGAATCCTCTGTCTCTGGTGCCCCTGTACCTCTGGCTTGCATCCCAGTTCTGCATGCATAAATAAATAAATTAATTAAAAAAATGGAATGTAACAGAGCTTGGTGGCTCTAAAGCAGTCTTAAAGACCTTGGGAGAAATTCTGATTCTGTTGCTAGTTGGTTCTGTGACTTTGATGTGGTCTCTGGACTAGTATTCTAATAAAGACAACAGCAAACAGGTGTATGACACTTCATTCATACCAGGCACTCTAGTAAACATTGCATACATATTATTTCAATCTTCATAATACTCCTAGGAGATAAGAACTATTATCTCTACTCATACCTGAAGCACAGAAAGGCTTAGTAACTTGCTTAATGTCACACAGCAGGAAGATGCATAGCCAGGATTTGAGCCAGGTCTTTTCTTTCCCCCAAGTGATACTACCTTACCCTGACACTTGGCTCAAACCACAGTGATATTTGTCACCCATAATCATGAAGCATAGGGTCCCTAAAGCCTCCGTTAGGGGAGCTGTACAGTCTCTTTTCTTGATCGCTTCCTATGTGTCTTGGTGGACCAGCAGTAATCTACGCAACTGAGCCAGCTTTTCTTTTTTAGGCTCTGGAGTCACTGCCTGGAATAACCTTGATTCCAGTCAATGAATGCATAGTGGATTTCAGCCCATGCTGCTGAGGTTGTTTTCTCCTCCCCTAGCCAATGGGGGAGTCCAAGAGCTCCAGCTTACCTGGCACTGCTCAACTAGAAAGAACTTCCTGGAGTGAAGGAAGCAGCCTGAAGATGGGTTAGAATCAGGGGCTGAGACCAGGCACTGGAAGTGTGGCACTGGAAGTGTGGCACTGGAAGTGGACTGAAGGTTCTCTGGGCATCTGACCTGAGATTCCCTGTGTATGGGCCAGGATGTGGGGCTAGATCAGGTGGGGAGTCGAGAGAGCAGGTAGAAGAGACCCAACCTGGTGCTGATGTCTCTTCCTGCCTGCCTTCAGCCTCCTACTGCGATTGTGACCACCCTGTCTTCCCATGAGAAGATTAAGATGCGTAGGGTGGGGGACAGTGTTCACTTAGGCTAAAGGGCTCTCACTCAGCAACTTTAGTAAAAGGACTCCAGACTTTTGCAGACTAAGGTTTGGGCTTATCTTTGCTCTGTTAGGGAAATTAATTCCCCTCACCATTGTTTATCTGGGCTGTTTGTACCATCTCAGTATTTTTCTGTGAAATAGACAAGGAGTCAATTATCCAGATTCCACTAATATGATGACCTGTTGGAACTGGGCCATGGGAAAGAAGGACAAGTGGGCAGGATTTGAATCTGGGTCTGATAAGAGGCAGCTGCTGCCAACTTCCGTGCCCATCCAGGTGAGGCAGTCTGTGGCCATCCATTGCCCTGATCTCAAAGACTGGGCTAAGGGAGTAGAGGAGGCCTGGCAGCCATGTTAGTGGCTGCCAACTGGATAGATAGAGGAGAGCCCTTTTCCCAGGCTGTCCAAGAGGCAAGACGCTGTTAATGGTCCTCTGGGAAAAACTAGAAGCATCTGACAAGAGCCATTCCTTGACCACCTGAGGAGTATTTGCTGGCCTTGATCCAGCCACTGTGCCTGTTACCTGATTGCAATGATTTTTCCTCTTTTCTTCTCATGGATCCCAGAGAAACATTTTGAGATATCTGAAACATTCTGTGAAGCCTGCTTCCACGGGAATGAAACTTTTCCATTGCCAAGCCTTTACCTCTTTCCAGGCCTGCCACCCACAGTCTCCTGCATGTGTCTCTCCTGCATGTGTATCTCAGCCAGTTGGCCATCAAGACTGATACCTCAGCTATCCTTATCCTTATTTTCCTTGTCTCACCCTTTCTATTTGGTCTCTGAGCTAGTGGCTAGAGGAGAACTGTGAATGGAGTTGCAACCCTCAGATTGAGAGGGGCTGGTGTATAGGGGCTGAAATGCAAATGGGCTGACAGTTGACTTCCTCCTTAGGTGTGTGACTCTGACACTGTGTTGGATCCAGCCTGCACCATCGAGATGCTTCGAGTTCTAGAGGAGGACCCCCAGGTGGGGGGAGTCGGAGGAGATGTCCAAGTAAGAAGTTATCTGGGATTTCTTGGGGGGGAGGGGTATCTGAACATTATTTTTTTTTTTTAAGATTTATTTATGCATACAGAACTGGGGTATAGGCCAGAGGTGCAAGGGCAGTGAGAGGATTCACCAGAGACAGAGTGGGGAGCAGAACAGGCAGACCAACAAAGTACACTGCTGAGGGGAGCAGCGGGTGGGTCAGGAGAGGTCTGCCACGCCATGTGGATCAGCTCCCTGGCAGGGGATCAAACTCGTGCTGCAGTGGCTTCGGAGAGGTATAACCAGTAGTGCCACCAGGGAGAGCCCCATGTTTCTTAATCCAGTTGGATAAGCCTGGGAAATGGACATCTTGACAAAATAGTAGTATTGGGGAGAGTGATCACTGCTATCAGAGGGTTCACTTGTGACCTACTCTGTTTCCCATTCTTTTCAATCTGAGAGGGCAATAATCACTTATCAGGTATGGAGAGGGCTTCTTTTTTGGCCAGGGGTATAGCACGCACCTCTAAAATTGAACCCTTGAGAGACTCTTGCTCTTAGGGAAGTTGTGCTGAGGAGCTCTGGGCAAGCATCGTCTTCCAGTGGATTTCGTTGGCAATGTGCCATGTCTTCCCAGGGAGCTTTCCAAACTGAGAAGGGTCAGGATCAGTGGCTGGGGTGTTGCATTGAACACCACCCCTGGCTGGTCCTGAGCTTGAAAGTGGCCTGACTGCTGGAGCAACTTCAGCCGGAAAATCAGTGCAGATAATACAGTGGGGGAGGTGGGGCTAGTGCTACAGAGAATCCCCAGGTGAGGTAGGAGTGATGACCAGGAATTTGAGCAATGGGTTACAGAACAGAGGCTTTCTGGTCTCTAGTGTCTGTCTGTTTGGGCATGCCCTTGGGTGAGGCAGCCCAGCATCTCTGGTTCCCTTGCAGATCCTCAACAAGTATGATTCGTGGATCTCCTTCCTGAGCAGTGTTCGGTACTGGATGGCCTTCAACGTGGAACGGGCCTGCCAGTCCTACTTTGGCTGTGTCCAGTGTATTAGTGGGCCCTTGGGCATGTACCGCAATAGCCTCCTCCAGCAGTTCCTGGAGGACTGGTACCATCAGAAGTTCCTAGGCAGCAAGTGCAGCTTTGGGGATGATCGGCACCTCACCAACCGAGTCCTGAGCCTTGGCTACAGGACTAAGTATACAGCGCGCTCCAAGTGCCTCACAGAGACCCCCACCAAGTACCTCCGGTGGCTCAACCAGCAGACCCGCTGGAGCAAGTCTTATTTCCGAGAGTGGCTCTACAACTCTCTGTGGTTTCATAAGCACCACCTCTGGATGACCTACGAATCAGTGGTCACAGGTTTCTTCCCCTTCTTCCTCATCGCCACAGTTATACAACTCTTCTACCGTGGCCGCATCTGGAACATTCTTCTCTTCCTGCTGACGGTGCAGTTGGTGGGCATTATCAAGGCTACCTATGCCTGCTTCCTTCGGGGCAATGCAGAGATGATCTTCATGTCTCTCTACTCCCTTCTCTATATGTCCAGCCTCCTGCCAGCCAAGATTTTTGCCATCGCTACCATCAACAAGTCTGGCTGGGGCACATCTGGCCGGAAAACCATCGTGGTAAACTTCATTGGCCTCATTCCTGTGTCCATCTGGGTGGCAGTCCTTCTGGGGGGACTGGCCTACACAGCTTATTGCCAGGATCTGTTCAGTGAGACAGAGCTAGCTTTCCTTGTCTCTGGGGCCACTCTGTATGGCTTCTACTGGGTGGTTCTCCTCGTGTTGTATCTGACTATCATTGCCCGACGTTGTGGCAAGAAACCAGAGCAGTACAGCTTAGCTTTTGCTGAGGTATGACACAGCACCCAAGCAGAGTGGGAAGAGTGCAATGGGTAAGGGAGGGAAAGGGAATGGAAGAGAAGAGAAGGGGTGGGAGGGAAGAGGGAGTGCTGTTTTAGTTTCTTAATGGTCCAAAGGACTAATCTGAAGTGCAAAGAATCTTGTGTGTATAATGTGGCTTGGGGCAGTTCTGCCTGGAGGAAGCAACACGGATTCCAGCTCTGGGTAGCCAGGGTGGTAGAGACTTATGTGTTTTCAGGCTGCTTCTACACACACAGTGGCCTCTAGGAACGTCTGTTCTTCCCCAGGCTCCAAAGGGAACTCAGAACCAAGCCTAAGTTCCACTTTGTGGCAACTTGTGGTGGGCAAGTGAACACCTATGGGAAGGGGTTCCTTTTAGCCCATCTGAACACAGCCAGAGGTAATGGGAGAATGAGATTTGGGCCAGCTAGTAGTATGCCCCCCCAACCCCCATGTAGTTATCAATGCAATAAGATTGTGCCTGAGATACGATGCCCAGAAACCTGGTCTTTGGGCACCTGAAAACAGGGTCCAAGAATGGTGCTTTATTATGTGATGTACCATCCTTTTGCTTCAGTGAATTCAGGGAATTCTTACAGCCAAGTTGTTGCATTTGCTTGCTTCCTTCCAGCACCAAGCTAAATAATGGAATTGGTTCTTGAGTGCTAAGATATACTTGCTTTCTCAGGCCTCTTGAGGCAGTTTGATGTTACCCCTGCCCCCATTACCCTGCTTTCCCCCCCCCCCCGAGTCATTTTCTAGATTTTTGCAATCCATAGACTGGTCTCAGCTCTTGGATTTCAGGCCTGGAGTCTTGACTAAGCTTTTGACTTGGGGTTGCTTCTTGCATGTTCTCTCTTCAGACCTCCATTCACCAAGGTGTCAGATAGTGGAGGGGGCAGGTCCCTAGAGCCCAGGTGCTTCCTACAAAGGAACAAAGTGTTCCCTGCGCCACAGATGGGCAAACCCTGGTGCTTTCCTTACTCACAAACTCAAGCATTTTCCAGGGTCAGCCAACACTTCTGCATCAAAGACCTCAAGTTTCTGATAAGACTGCTCGTTGGTCGGGCCTACTCCACGAAGGCTGGGAAGTGACAGCAGGCTTTTGCTACAGACATTTGTCCCAGGCTCTTCCGTGTTTTTGCTAGCCAAGAAGTAACTATTTCAAGCAGTACAATGGAGGAAATCTGGTCAGCCAACTGCAGAGCTCAGGCTTCATTAAGGGCTTTTTCCCACCTCAGCTTTTACTTGCAGATTTATAGAATGGACTCCTCATGGAGAACTCTTGGCTGCCCTACTATCAGCTCTGCCTTGCACTGTGGTCATCAATTTTCCTCAGATCAAAAGTAGACAGATACAAGTAACGGGCTCACAACATTTGACCTCGACTGGTTTTTCTAAGTTATTTTGTACATTTTCCAGCAGTGTAACCAAACTGGTTCTTCAGCTTTATCCCCGTTTCTTACTTACGAGGGTACAGCCTTTATACAAGTGGACACATTTTATTTCCTCATTGAGAATTTTAATCCTCTTTTGTATTGTTTCTATGGTAATTTGTAAACATATTTATTTTTACTTTTTTTTTTTTTTTTACTTTTCAGGTCAAAATTTTATACTGCACTTATTTGTCAAAATAAAGATTCTCATATAATGTTCATCTCTGAGGTACTTCCTCCCTTGTGGTAATGAAAGCTAGCTCTTTAACTTTCAAAAGGCAATGAGAAATAGCTTTGTCCAAGGTACAGTAATTCCAGTGGAATTCAGAAGATATTATACTGTCTCTGGGCCTGGGCAATACAGAAGCCCACCCTGGTAACTACACACACACACACACCTAGGATGGCTTAAATTTTATTGTAGAGGGTGGGGAAGAGTCTGGTGAAATTACTGGCAGGTGAGTCCTGGCTAATGCTTAAAAACGAGCTTGCTTCCTCCAGTGAAAGCTTTTTGACTTGATAGCGTGAATTGTGGCCATACCAAAAATGAAAGGCATTGGGTAAACTTCATTCCCATGGAATGGAACAAGTAACAAAATGAAAATGACACAGCAGCCCTCTCATCCCATTTATTAAAGAAACAGTAAGAAAAGATACAATGCAGGAAAAACACCAACCATCCTTTCACGTCAGGCTGAACGAAGCACAGTGATTTCTCCCCTGCCCCCCCTCCCCCCACCCCCATCTTCCCATCCACATCAGTTTAAATTTTGAGGTTCTTTGATTGGGAGTACCAGTGAAGAGGGAGTTGGATGAGCAGTGGAGCCTTGATTCTGGTCTCCTGTGAGTCCCAGGAAAAGGAAGCTGCAGGCCCAGTCAATCAAGCAGAAAGTGTTATTTGGTGGGTCTTCGAAGTAGCTGCCCACCTTTCTGTCCTGTGTTCAAACCCCCAGGGAAAGGTATGGCAGTAGAGGATGACCAGGTCCAAGCTGCCCAGGTCAGAGCTGCTGAAGCATGGTCCATTCACCAACGAGACATTTCTAGAAAGCAGTGAGCTGGTTCTCCAGTGGTGAGCAGGGGACTAAATATGAATTGGGACCTGCAGGCCAATGTATCCCTGAGGAAAAGTCCACAAGAACAATTCAAGAAACTAGTAAGAAACAAGGGGCAGAAAGCAGTGGGACAAAAGCACAACAGGCTTTTGCAAGGCTGTGGAGATCCTTTATCAGGGTCAGGATCATTCCCATCTGCTCTAATCCATGTCCCACAAATAACTTGTCACCTTCAGTCAAGAAAGAAGCAAAGGAAGAGATGGCTCATTTGAACTTGAGCCCCAGCTATGTACTTCAGACTGTAGCTCCCTATCTACCCTTTTATATAAGTCACAGCCCCTGCCCAGAACCACAATGTCTAGAAACCGAGGTGGTCCTGGAGAGAAAATGGTGTTTAAGGGGGCAACATTCCATTTGGGTACATTGCAGCCATTGGACCCCCTGGTCTGGGGAAAGCAGCTGGGTTTGTGCCAGGGAGGCTCCCCACTCTAGGAAATGGAACCAAAGTTTTGCTTACTGGGCCATTCATCCTTGGAAAGGAAGCTGGGTTTAGACCCATGGTCCCAGTTGGCCTTGCAAAAGGAGCTGGGTTCATACCCACAGGGCCTGCTGGGGAAGAGCCCAGAGGCCCAGGAGCTGACCTGGGGAAAGTAACTTGTCCAGGGCCTAATGGGCCAGTAGACCTGGGGAAGGTAGCTGGACTTGGGCCTTGTAAACCAGTGGCCCTTGGGAAATTGGATGGGTTGGGACCTATTGGCCCAGTGGTTCTTGGGAACATTGCTGAACTTGAGCCCTGGAGGCCAGTAGACCTTTGAAAGGTAGCTGGGTTTGAAGCCAATGAGCCAGAAGACTGGGAGAAGGGAGATGGATTCAGCCCCACCGGACCTGTCCCCCTTGGAAAGGGATTAGCATTTACTCCCATTGGGCCAGCTGGCCTTGAGAAATGAGCTGAATTAGGGCCCATGGGGCCAGGAGCTCTTGACATGGGAGATGGATTTGGCCCTGGAAGGCCAATTCCCCGAGAACCAGGACCCGAATTTGGGCCAATAGGACCAGGTACTCTTGCCATGGGGGATGGGCTTGTGCCCATATTTCCAGAAGTCTGTGAAAAAGAAGCTGAATTTGCTCCTAAAAGACCTGCTGCTCTTAATATGGGGGCAAGATCTAAGCCTTGCGGTCCAGCCATTCTTAAGTTGAGACCAGATCCTGTGCCCAAGAGACCACCAGCTCTGGTGTCCAAATTAGGGCCTGGACCCAAACCACCTGCCCTAGGGTTGGGCCCAAGGCCTGGGCCCATGGCATTTGCTCTTGGATTGGGTCCAAGGCCTTGGCCTGGAAACATACCTGACCTCGGTGCAGGGTTTGTACCTACAAAGCCTGATCTCATACTGGGACTTGGTCCAGGGCCTAGACCAACGGGCCTAGGATTAGGAGGACCATTCCCAGAAGTCAACAGAACACCTCCTCCTCGCATGTTGGGTCCAGATCCAGGGCCCATGGGACCACCACTCCTGGGGTCAGGACCTGTTCCCAGAAGACCACCTGACCTTGGGTTGGTCATAGGACCTGGTCCTGGAAGACCCCCTAATCTAGGGTTAGACATAGGCCCTGGGCCTGGAAGAGATCCTGCTCTAGGGTTTAGAGCCGGGCCTGGGCCTGGGCCTGGGCCCAAGAGGCCACCTGGCCTTGGGAAAGAAACTGCACCTGTGCCAGTAGAATTCATCCCTCTTGGAAAAGAAGCCATGCCTGGATCACGAGCACCAGCACCAGCAGGGAACGGTGCTGGATTTGAACCTGATGAAGTTGGAAAAGATGATGGATTCCTTGGAAAGGGGGCCATATTTCCAAGAGAACCAGTTGCCATTAGAAAGGGATCCGAGTTCATGCCCAATGAGTGGCCAGTGTTCAGACCAGGACCTCCCTGTGGCCCCAGGGAACTGTCCAGCCGTCCTCGAGGTGGCAGCGGAGCACGAGTCCAAGGAGTTGGCCGCTCTCTAGGGAAAATCCGCGGTTCTTTCATACTTTCTTGGGGACGTTGGTGATAATGGGCTTGGGGCGAGTTTTGAAAAGGATCTTGTTTCTGATGAGTGCCGTCACCAGGTAGTGGGTGCCAGTATCACCAAGCTCATCACAGTCCTGATCTGTAGGTGAGTGTTTGACGAGGACAGCAAAAGGTTTCTCCAGGTGGACGAGCTTCCCATAAAGGATATGATGCCCCACAATCAGCACAGGAATTCCCTTTGGCAGAACAAGAACAAGATACCTGAGGTTCAGGGCAAGGTCATAACACTCAGGTGCCTTCTAAAGCTGTTCTTGGCAGGAAATGATGGCACCTCCACTTCCTGGTCTGGCTCTACCATTGTTAAGACACACTGGACAACCCGCCCATGTGCCCTTTTTATTCTTTCTGTCCCCAGGTAATAGAGGTTCCATTTTTACAAATGTGACCCTTCTAGATTCCCCAAAGCTGAATTTCCCTGTTACTGCAGAGATGGGGGGAGAACAAGCAGATAGCTTTGCAGATTAGCTAGACTTTGAGTAAACAAACCTGAGGGCAGTCCTCATTCTGGGTCCTGGGAGCACCACCTTGGTGTAGCTTGCTTTCCTGAGGCATTAGGCAGGGAAAGAAAAGCCCCCTCACCTCAGTGGTGTAATGGAGGTCTCCCAGGAGGTTTCCAGCTAATCCAGTGCTGTAGCGAGCCTCGATCTCCCCCTGTAGCTCCATCAGCACCCATTCTGCCAGGCCTCCAGCCCCAGCACTGCAAGCAAAGGGCTGGCGGTTACAATATTTTTGAGGGGTGAAGGATGAAGTGTCCTACACCACCATTCAAGGCTCAAAGGAACTCTGTTGAGCACAAGTTCTTGGGGAACTGGGCAGTGCTAGGCACTGAACTAGAGACTGAAATGCTCAAGGATTTGTGCAAGATGCACCTGAGGACCCCAAGCCTTCCAGGAAATGTCAAACCTAGATAGTCCTAATCATTCAAGTTAAATTTAAATTCTTACAAAATGTACTTACCAGGAAATAACAATTTGCACCATGAGCTTTCCGTCTTTAAAAAGCAACTGAAAATAAGCTGTAGAGAGAAGAGAGGTTTAAGATAATAGCTAATATTTACTACTTATGTATGCCAGGTATTTTTCTATGTACTTAAGACACATCTCATTCCCCTAACAATTCTGTATGATGTAATTATTTTTTGAACTACTGTTTACATAAGACTGCTTAAAGTCATACTACTGTATGACAAGTTAACAGTAGTGTCTAGTCAGTCAGAATCTAGCTTAACACTTAGCTTTCATTTTATACAACAGCACCACCTGGTGGCACGTTTATAGTACTCAAACAGGTTAAAAAGGACATTTTTGCCCCAACGACTGTCCTCACTCATATTTCTAGGAAGGGTAGACTAGGAAAACTGAGAGGTCCAGGGACGTAAACAACACTTTCTGGCTAAGTCCTTTTAACGATTAAATGGGGCATAGTGGAGGGATATTAGTCCAGTGTTTACCAACTGCTGTATAGAAGGAACAGGTCTGGCAAACACATGATTAGAAGTTACCTATTTTTGTTTTTAGAAATTAGATTTTTTTGCTGATGTAAATCTTCACCGTGGAGAGTCAAGGAAAATGTTTGTTACTGGCAGCCTCTGGCAGAGGGCACCAAAAGCTGTGCTCCTGACCACCACACACTCTGGAAACATGAGATTAGTTAATTCACTGGATTTCAAAATCAAATATAAACAGCAGCTATTTTTACTATGAGTCATATGCTGTGTATATATGGAAGGTACCTTAATCACTGTGAAATGCCCACATTAAGAACTTAATATTTTGCAGCACGCATGCATCTGGGTGTAGATGTATACACACAGTTAAAATGTAATAGAAGCAGCTTAAGGACGTAAGGCTATCTTTTATCTGTACTCATGACTATCCAAGAAAACTACGTACCAGTGAGAACAAAAATCATCAAGGCATCAGACAGGCACTGTGCATTGCAAGAGCTGGTCAGAATGGTATGGGGAATCTATAGGTTGTCCCTGAATAAGCCAGGCCTCCTGGACCACCGCCAGTTGTGGCACCACTTGAGACAAAGTGATCCCCTAGCTCAGGAGGGCAAAAATTTTTGAGAACAAAAGAGCCTCCACCACTACTCCACCACTACTATCAATTAAAAGCACTTTAAACATTCTCTTTTCTAATATTTCTTGAAAGAGAAAGTAACCACTGAGATTCTAGCCAGCAGGTGTGGAAAACTTGACTAGCAGCATACAAGCTGCTTCATGACTATGGAGATACCACCTACCCAGGTGATCTGAGTCAGTAAACTGTTGTGAAGACCAAATTAAAGTGCATAAAAATGCTCTAAAGTCTGTATGTTCTTTTCAGTATGTTCTAATGTTTTAGCAGACGGAATAAATTAGCACTCCCAAGGTAAAATTCTGACTATAGTTTAAAGAATGTTAGATATATTTTAGCCATGAATCTAAAAAAAAGTTCAATGAGAAACAAATTTGTAAAGGTTAATCAATGCATGTAAACTGAAGTGATTTTGTTAAGTTTTTGATGACTGATGATGCAGGTTACTTCCCTTGTGTGTATGTTAAAGTAAATTATAGGAGGTTTCTGAGAACCAGTAAGACCTTCAAATAGATACATACCATGTTCTGAGTAGATCATGGTGGGGAAGATTACTCTTTAAAGGCATTAGACCACAGGTTTGAGATGGCATCTGTGGACGATTTACAAAAAAGGATATGATAATATTGCAGTGTATGCTGCATTTCCTGAAAAGGAATTCAGTACATGGCCTCCCAAAAAGGCAAAGGAAAACAGATGCTTGGTAACTGGGTCACTGCACATGATTCTCCAGTGCTCAATGAGCACACTGCTTTATACCTGTGTAGGAGGTTGTGTCTGGGTACTCTTGAGACTGGCAGATACTTAAGCAGACCTCCTGGAATGAGAACAACTCCTTAGCATTATGCTTTTGTATATGCTCAGGCTGGGAACAAATGCCAGACCTACTGGGATGCTGCATACTTGAGTACAAATGAAGTTCACGCCCAGCTATGTGTCTCCAGGTCACAGGAACCTGGGGACTGATCTGCCTGCATTTATGTACAAGAGGACCTGTCAAATTATTAGAGAAGTAGGGAAAGGCATCCCTTTAGCAAGTTAAAAAAAAATTCTATCTCATCACCTTAAAATATCCTCTCATCTGAATCCTACTATTCCTTTCCTTGCTCCTTGAGATTACTAGTCTATGGAAATGTTTCAGGGTCAGGGTAGGGAGGTATATCCAGGAACTTCACTGAAGACGTACCTGATGGAGGTGACAAGGAATGTGCATTTTAATTCATGTGGAACTGACTGAAAAGGATGAGATGGTGCAGCCCTGTCTTCCCCCATCTCCTGACAAGTAAGTATTTAGTAGGAAAACAAGACCTGATATGTGTCAGATCCCATGATTAATAATACAGAAACATCACAAAATTTTTCTTTATCAAAGTATGTTTTAGTGTTTCAGTCTCAACTAATTCCAAAAAGGAGAGCAATTTCTGTTTTCTAACACTTTTCTTGTTTAGAAACTGTAGCGTTATCAACTCAGAGGGCCCAGTGTAAATATACTGTATCAAGAACTAAAGCTGTCAATGGAAGAGTTAGGCCAGGACCTCTGAGGAGTCCAGAGTTTAAGACCCATATTTAGCTAAGACTAAATACCTTTCTCTGATTAATAATTCCAAGTTACAACTAAGAGTGTTGGCCTGGAGAAGTGGGATCGTGTGGGAAAAACAACAAATTTTTCTCCTGCAATAAATTATTCCCCCATATCAAAAAGAGGAGGTGACTTTTTCCACTCAATTTTTATGGGCCCTCACATAGCTAAATAAACAATGTGTAAATTCTATATTCCCAACAGTCAAATAATTTCAGCTTTTTTTTTTAAGAACTTTTTAAATGTTTTCAACTTCCAATTTTTGTTCAAAAAAGGCTTTTGGGGGACCTTAAAAGGTGTATTTCTGCCCCAGATCATTCTCAGTTTTAAAGCACAGAGTTAATCTGGAGTTACTTGGTCAAAGACAACCTCTCAATACAGAGCTGCAGATGACTTCAAAACACCTGTGCAAACCACAGGGCAAAAAAGAAATCTGCATCTTAAGAACTAGTTTAGACCCACAGGGGGAACCCTAATCGAAACTTAGAAGACTTAACTGGGGTTTGACCAATCTGGTGTAAACCTTACTTAATGGTCAACTGTTTCCTATGGCTATTATGAAGTCAATTATTAAAATCATGAAAAATCAAGTGTCAACACAGTTTCTTAAGAAGAAAAGTTGAGGCACATCATCTTTATGATACAAAAAAAAAGAATCATTTCTCATACAGCCAAACATGTTCCTCAACTCTCTTGTTTCATCCTGAAAATAATCCTATAATGTAGGCACTGTCTTAGCACTCCCTTTTACAAGTGAGGAAAGGAAGAGCTAAAGGTAAAGTGACATGCCATGCAGCAAGTAAAGCTGGGATGTGAGCCCAATGCCTCCTCTGTCTGTCTGTCTTGCAGGCCTCTCACATAGCTCCTCCCTTGTTTAATACCTGTGTATCAGACCTCCTGATTGCCATCTTTCTCACAACAGCTCTTACAAAATGGCAGTAAGTATCTTTGGGGGGGAATCTTCTGTAATTTATGCACTGTGGGGTAGGTAGGTTAAAATCAACACTAAGCCTGAGACTGAGGTTTGGAAACCTTTAGCTATCTACCCAAGGTTACCTCCAGGATTTAAAACTTTATTCTAAACCTGACTCCTTGGAATACATCAAAATAAGCCAAGTAAACAGACGAAGTCTTTCTCACTGATATGTTGTCGTCACTGACAGAATTTAATTCTCTTATTCTTTGATTTCTGGTTAAAAGATTACTACTGTCTTTTAAAGAAAAACATGAGCAATGAGCCTCATAATGGTAACCTTCCCCAAAATAAAAAGGGCCCCAAAAAAGTATATGTAGTCAATTAAACAGAATATGGAGCTTATAGTGAAAGGAGGGCTTTCCCTCACAGGTTTAACCTAACTAAAAGAATTTAATTTTACTAAACAATATAATATATTTTCATTAGTACCTTCCCAATCATCTTGTAGGAAGGAAATCTTAAAAAAAGGAAATGAAGGTTCCAACAACTTTTAACTTAAAAAATCATTTTTCATTAAAAAAATTAAATATCTGACTAAAATGTTTGTACATTGTGGGCCAAGAGTTAGCATTTATTGAGTTATTATTTGGTCCCAGTGGTTATTTGTGTTTAAGAAAGTGAGAACTCAAGTTGTCAGTTGATTTTGTGAATTCTACCACTTACTCTGAATAATGGGCAATTCCACCCCAAGCTTCAGTTTCCCCAATAAATCAGGCATTTAAAAAAAAAAAGCTATCTCATGGAAAAAAAAAAATGTACAAGTGATGTAAAAATAAACTGTTATAAAATTAAAAAAAGCTATCTCAAATGATTGTTGTGAGAATTAAATGAGGTTAAGAATGTACTCAATACAGTGGCAGGTCTTTAGGCTCAAACTATTAGCTAGAACACAGCACTTCCTTAGTGCAATGGAGCACCTTAAGCCTACACTGTATAATTATTTTAATATTTATAGTGAACTAAAATATCCTATAAAAGCAGGTCATCAGAATAAAATCAAGTTTTACATAATAGAACAATTCAAAGATGGCAGTCAGGGTTTCACCAAACTGCTTTAGGGACTAAGTTATGTAAGAGTTTTTCCCTAAACATGACGCCCATTTCTCCACGTGCCTTTCCACCAAATGAACAATTCAGAAAGTTTTACACAACTGAATACAGATTATTTTTATTAGCAGTGTTGTGGTTTTGTGACTGGAGGGGATGGTCTAAGTTTCAATAGGGGATCTTGCCTCTTGGCAGTTTATGTCATTAAGTGTTAAAATTCAGTTTCTAAAGGAGCTTTTAGTCCCCTACAAAAAGGGGGCTAATGAGGGTAGGTGGAACTGAATGCTTCCAACTTTTCATTAGTGAAGAGTGTGTTCAAAAAACATGTGTGAATGCTATGCATACACGTGGTACTTTCCCATCACATTTTAGGATTCCCATGATGGAGGGAATCAATTACTGGTATTTGTAGACAATAGATGGTTTCGGTTGATCTGAGTAACTTCAGTTTTCTCCATCTCCTGCTACTCTGTAACCCCATCTCAAACCTCCCTCCTCTTACTGCCACAGCACCCTATCTTACCCAAGCCCCTTCCTTTCTAGCCCTGCTTGAGATCTCCATTTAACCTGGGTTCTCCCACCAGCCCCAATCTTTCACATCCTCTCCTCTAAGCCCCTGTCCTGTAACCCCTCCAATTTGAGTTACAAAACACTTCCAATTTCGAATCCCGCCCACTTCCTGGGACTTCTCAATCCGCTTCCCCCACCCTCCAAATTATTCCCAGACCTTTTCTGGGACCTCTTATTAAGCGTTTGAACCCCTTTACTACCTCCCAAGGAAACTACTCTTAATTTACCTTACTCCGCACCTCCCACCGTTGGAGTGGTATTCCAAGCCGTTAACGCTCCTCCCAAAGATTACTCTCTAAACGTCCCTCTGCCACCCTCATTTTCCATATTGTTCTCTGTTCCCCCCCCTCAATTCGGAAATATTCTGCTCTTCAGAACCCCACCCCACTCTTCTCTCATCTCCTCACCCCGCCCACAAAAGAACCAGGTATCGCTCCTCAGACTATCTCCCTTTCAACCACTCTCCAAGTTGCTTCTCTCAGCGGGCCTCTCCGATTTAAAATGCACCCCACCCCACAACCCTCATATTCTCACTCCCGTCCCCCACCCACCGCAAAGTACCCTTTCTGATATTCCCGCTACTTCCTGGGTTCCAGGTCTATCCCACCGCCCTCCGCAAGCTTCGCGAGCTGGGCTCCCTCTCCGCCCTGGGAAGAGCCCCTTCCCGCACATACCTCGAGGTTCCGGCCCGCGCCGCCCCCTTCTCCGTCCTGCGCTCGCGCTCGGCCACCCTTTCCGCCCTTCCCTCCGCTCCGCCCCGCTTGCTCCCTTCCTTCCCGCCTCCTTCCGTCTCCACACCGCTTCCTTCCCCCACAATTCCCGGCCTTCCCACCCCGGGGGCCTATCTGGGTACGCCCCCACCTCCGCGCGGCCTTCCTCGCTCCCCTCCCCCTTCACGGTCGCCCCTCCCCCGCCCTCCGCTCCCCGCCCTCCGCTCGCCATTCTTCTCTCCGAGTCGCGCGCCTCGCCCGGCCCCAGCTCTCTAGCTTCCCGCTCCCTCGCACCCTCGCCCCCATCCCCGGCTCGGCCTCGCTCCCCGCGTCCTCCCGTGCCCCCCGCCCGCGGCCTG